TGTAGGCATTAATGGATATGAAAAAGCTGATGCACTGACAAAAGAGGCAACTAAAATGACAATAACCAGTATTAGAATCCCATATACAGATTATAAAAATAAGATCAGACAATACATTAAAATAAAATGGCAAACAACTTGGGATATGTTTGCAAACCACAAACAGTATGAACATTAGTCAACAGTCAGACTGGAAAGTAGAGAACCATTACCTGATCAAGAACAAGACATAGTGCTAAGCAGGTCCGAATTACACACAGATACACGTTTACTCTGAAAGTATAAAATTGCATACAAAACATCTGTAGCTGGAGCCATAAAGTTGCCTACAAAATATTTTGGCATTTTGATATGCCAATTAAATAACTAGCCAATCAATTATTGCATTGTTTGGAGGGAAATGATTAAAAAACACTTTAAAAACAAATTCATAGCAACTACATAAACTATATTTCATTTAAACTAATGCCCCTAACCCTTTTTACTCCATTCTCACCTCTTGACAGTGAAAATTTAAATATGTGTATGTGAAGATCTTTAGAATTAATCAGTTCTTAGGTTGAAAATTTCATCTGTCATCCACTTTGTTTTTTATTTACATTATTTATTCGGACTATTGTCCTTATCTTCGTCGCCATATTTATTACAATGTTTATGGTATGGTGCTCCAGACTTCTTTAGGTGGTTGGAATATCGAACTTAACCCTTTATTTCGCTCACTGGACTAGACTGTTCTAGTTCCACATGCCATGTTTAATGGATGTCAGTTATCAGTTATCTCCTGTTAATTTCCCTCTGAAAGTTCTCCACTGCCTTAACCGGGTATTGAACTCACACTCTTTGGGTCCTGTCACTGGATCTAACTAATGCCTTTATCCACTGTGACACGTGTCCTTGTGTATGAATTTCCGGGTATTATAAACCTAATGTCTTCAGCAACCATTTTTACCAGTGCTTATATTGCAATTTTTTTGCTGTTACCATACATGTTTTTACCAGAGCTCATATTGCAACTTTTTGTTGTTATTATTGCTTTTCTCTGGCACTCCTTATTACTGGTTCTCATATTGTATTCATTTCTATGCTTGGTCGGCTCAGGAGATTTTTGTGGCTTTGTAACACCCTGATTTTCTTATTTTACAATTTCTTGAATGTTCTTCTCCTTTGATTGATTTTGCGGGGTTGGTTTAAAAATTTCAAGTCTCAAGCTGGGGCACAAGATAAACCCTTGAAAGAACGAACTTCCACAACTTAGGTGAGTTGAGTAGAAAAATAGTTTTTATTTGTTCAGACTTAGTCTTTAAAATTTTGCATTTGGCGATGTGACACTCAGCTCTATTTCTAACTAATGGAGATCAAATGCGAACCTCACCGACTCAAGCGAGCGGAGTTTCACTTCTTCAGTTTTTTTTTTTTTTTTATTACTATAAATGTTATTTTTATTGGCTGAACTGCTTTGCTTGGAAAAATCACTTGTATTTATGTTGAAATACTTGGAAATCCTCTAGTTCACGGGTGAAAACAAAAGATAAGCATTGGCGACTGTAAGTTCAAAATTTCAAGGTACTTAAATTTTGCTTCCTTTGATTTAAAAACATCCGTCTATCCTCGGCCTCCAACGATGTATTTTCCAGGATTTTTTTTTTTATCTTTTATCTTAACAAACAGTAATGTGAAGGCCGTTGGATGTTTTTATAGCCCTTTTCTTTTTTTTTATTGCCTGGAAAAAGGAAAATTCTGTTATCTTTTCTTTATTTCCTTAATGTGTTGTCCGAGATACAGTAAAGACAGTTTTTGACCTGGTCATCTAAAATCTATTTCCTAAAAGTTTATATTTTTTTCACATCAAATCACTTAGTCAAATATTTTATTGGAAGAATTTTATTTTTATTCCACAAATTTACTTAGAAAAGAAAATTTATTTATTTATTTTTTTTTTTTTTTTCCCTTAGTACTTTTGTTATTCAAAACACATGTTTTTAAACTATTTTTCTATTTTTAACCGTTTTCTATTCTTAATTTATTAAAATAAAATACATATTTTACAAATCTGATTTTAATATTCCTAGTTGTGTGTCACAGCCCAATTTTATGTGCTGATTCCTTTCCTGTTTCTTAATTTTCCAATGGTGTTCCTTGTCTATGATCTCAACCTGATCCCATAGAGGGTGGTGATCTCCCTTCTCTCTCCATATGTGGTTCTGATGTTATATGGACCGCAAATCCTTTGTATTTTGATAACCCCTTCACATAAGGCAGGCAGACTGTTTTCTGAGTGTTGTTGTCCTCCTCTTGTACCCGCCTATCCCAGTTTTTTGGGACTGCTGCCATGTACCCAGGGTAGTTGTTACATTGTAGGATACTACTTATACTGACCAATTCTTTATCTAATGTCTTTGGGTCACCACTTATGACTTTTGCTTGGTGTTGTAAGCAGTGGACAATCCCTTTATTTACACTGTATGGATGGTGGGAGTTGAAATTGAGGTACCGTCTGGTGAATGTCGGTTTACGGTATACGGATGTCTTGAACCCATGCTCTGTTCGAGATATTAGAACATCCAGGAATGGGAGTGTGTTGTTACACTCTTTCTCCATTGTAAACTGTATCGAAGGTCTTAATTGAGTTCACATGGTCCAGTAGAACCTGAACATCTTTCTGGCGTGGCCAGAGTGTGAAGGTGTCATCTACTTACCTTAACCATATAGTTGGCTTTAGAGATATAGATTCTAATGCCATTTCCTCAAAGTATTCCATTGCTGGTGATAATGGTGAGCCCATTGCTAAGCCCTCATCCTGTCGATATATATGTGATCCCATTCCGAAGTGTGTTGTTTGTGTACAGAAAGTCAACATCTCCATCAGATTATCTATTGGAATACTGGTCCATTCTTATAGTCAGAGGCCAATTTGTCTCTGATTTCTGAGAGTGCCTCCTCCGTGTGTACCTTGGTGAACAAACTCACCATGTCCAAGCTCACCATCTGGTTGGATAGGATGGGAGCATCTTTGATTATTTCCACGAAGTGGGAAGAGTTTCGGACATATGAAGGAGACTTTCTGATCAATGGGTCAATTATATCTACAAGGAAGTTACACAGGGGGTGGCACACAGAGTCTTGGCAACTAACAATCAGCCTGAGCGGAATACCATCTTTGTGAATCTCAGGGAGACCGTATATGTGAGGTAGCTTGGTGTAACGCTGCAATAACTGCCTATACATCTTAGGTGCAAAGTGATCCTTGTTCTTGATTAGGATCTGTGACAGTTTGCATTCTGTTTTCATTGTAGGATCCTTTTTTACTTTGCTGTAGCTACCATTGCTAATGAGGTCTTTCAGCTTTCTTGTATCATCTGATTTGTCCATCACTACTGTCGCATTGCCTTTGTCAGCCGGTAGTATGATGATGTTTTCGTTCCTCTGTAGGGATCCAATCGCCAGCCTCTCCAGTTTTGTTATGTTAGACCTGGGCAGCTTGGCTCTCTCCAAGGTCTGTCTTACTTTCCGCCTGAGCCTGAGGGATGTTCAAGGCCACCTCCTCGACTCTGGTAATGATGTCCAAGTATGGCACCTGCCTGATGGTTGTGGCGAAGTTGAGACCCTTATTCAATACTGACTCCTCAGAGGCACTCAGCTGATATTGGCTGATGTTGATTACTGCTTTCACTAGTGGGTGATGGACCTTGTGCGTCACCTTCTGATCTTTTAATCTATTTAATTTTTGTACTTGGCAAGCCTTGACTACATCGAATTCATGTCTGAAGGATTTATCCAGGTCATTTTGGATCTTTCTCTGGTCTTCTTAATTAGTAATTCTGTTGAAGAAATCCTTGAGCCTCTGGGAGATATGAGCTTGTAGTCTCTGTTTTATCCAGTTTTGTACTGGATTCTCTCTCGGACAAAGGTGTGTCCCACTTTCTCTGCGACCAGACAGGCTCTCCTTGAATTGACAGGAAGTCTTGGGGCCAAGCCTGATTAAACATGGCATGTGGAACTAGAACAGTTTACCCCAGTGAGCCAAATAAAGGGTTAAGTTTGACATTCCAGCCACCTGAAGAAGGCCGGAGCATACAATGGCCGAAACATTGTAATATACTACTATGATGGCTATATTGTAAGGCTTTTTTCTGCTTTAGTAGAAGAATGCTGTCCAATAATTGTCGGTATCCCACAAAACATTTATTTTTCTTATTGTCTTTGTCTGATATTAGTCCTATGTTTAATTCTGCATCTGTCACATGTGAAGTCCCCATTATCTATTCATATAATTTTATATAACATTAGAACCATTTCAACATTTTCTAATTTCCCACATTGATATAGCATCCAAATTTTCATGATCATATTGCAGATTTGTCTTTATTGCATTTGCTGTATTCATATACAAAAACACAAAGACACTTGCTAAAAATATACTCAAAAAGCATTTTTTTCAGATAATATGCCACTATAATATAGATTATCCAAACATTTACATTTTAAGTAAACTTTCATTGTAATAATAGAAGAGTCATTTGGTAGTTTGACCATGCTTTCTTTCTCCCTCACATACACATTACTCTTAGGTTTCTAATATTGATATATCCCACAAAATATACCGCTATTGTTAGTAGATATGCAGGCAGTACAATGATCAACAGCTTAGAATGAGAAATTGGCAAGTCAAGTTTGTTACATCCATTTTTGCGCAAATAACTTTGAGAAAAGTAGAATTCATCTATTCTTCTCACAGCTAAGGGTTAAATAGTAAGATAGACTGGGCTCTATAGTCATGGTTGGCAACCACTCTGAATTCAAAATTTTATGTAATCCTGGCAATACACATACTATAGAAGCAGTGAAAAGATTATGGACTTCACAATTAACTATAGCATGATGCTGTGGATAATGATTTCAAGTGAGGTCAATCAGGTATATAGGTAGGTAGATTAATGTTTAAATTTCACAATATATTTAAAAGTGTTCTTCCTTCAATGTTTAAAACTATTTTTACTTACCTGAAAATGCATCAGGATATATTTTACTTAATCTTTGTTTTAAATTTCTGAAAAAGATAAAGAAATTAAAAAACATGTTTTAATAAAGAGACAAAAGTTTAATTAACATTAAGAAGGATTCTGCATTAGTAAATTGTTTAATTGAAAACACTAAAAATAAACTTCTGAAAAAAAGTTGTGAATCTTATCAAAAGTGAAAAAAAGTACAATAACCAAAAAAATGCAAACCTGAATCAACCAGTCTATTCATGCACTCCATAATATTAAAGATACAATAAATTATGTATTTCTATCACTAGTTGGCTTTTTGGGTGCTTTTATTGTTTTTCTTCTATGTATGTAAATCCAAGCATTATTAAGACAATAATATTTCTTATCTTCACAGCTTGAAGTTACTTATTAACTTCACTTGAGTTAATTAAAAGAAAATTGTAGTATATGAAAGTTACATGATGGGTAAAACCTCTTTGTATATACTCTTCTTCCAAAATTTAAAAAGAATGTTATTAATAGCTAAAGTCTTAAATAAGGCATTTTAATTTTGAATATTGATTTTATCCACTAAGCATTACCTTTAGAGACTTTTATATAGACAGATTTAAATGTAATACTTTACTTTTATAAAGCTGTAACTGTACACAGCTTCTCCTAATCAACCTGGTGATACTAGTTCCAAAATTGATTCATGATTATCAATTATGTTTTTGGTCAAACTAAGTAATTAACTAGTAGGATCTTTCTCAAATAAATTATTTAAAAACAGATATATCAAAATAAAACTGTAAAAATGTTGTCATATGATGTAACTAATGCTACATATATGTAATTGGCACTTGCAAGTAAGAGTTATATAATCTGACAAAAAATATATATGTTTCTATACAAATTTATAAAAACATATTTATTCTGGTAATGAAACATTTAAACTTTGTTATAATTATTAAAGCAGGTTTTATGCTTGATTCAAAAATAGTATGACTAATACAGCAATCGCTATCACTTGACTTAAAATATTTTTGTCCTTCCTTGTCTTTAGAGGAGTGCCCTTTGCCGTGCTGATGTTGTTACATGCCTTACTTCTTGCCTATATCACACTGCCAATTTTTCTAAGCTCTATAGTAAACATTAAATCTGTTACCATAAAAAAGAACTAAACAAAATAAACACAAAACGATCAGCTTTAAAAAGCCGGAAAAAAAACATTTTTAAGGGTTGACTGATTGTCGATTTGTACTCTGTTTGGTGGGGGGGTGCTCAGTGTTGAAACTTCACATGATGACTTCCAATGGCCTTTTCACAAATCCGCTCAGTTTTCGCTAAAAACTGACATGCGGTTCAGACGCAATCTGGGCATATCAGTTTTTGGGTTTTATTGATTTTCCGTGCTGTTTAGGGGTCCGTTGTCATGAAACTTCTGGACAACACTTGTAATGGTAGACTCTAAGAGGGTGTCAAATTTGGTTGAAATGCGATCATTCCTTCTGTAAGGAAGAATTTTTTTGATTATCGATTTTTTCAGAACCTGATTCCAAACTCAAAAATCGGGCTCCGTCATCTCCTTAAGGCAGCCATTTGCAAAAAAATGTTGAAAAACCGCAAAAGAAAATCGGGTGAGAAATACGGCCTGGGAATATTTAATTATATTCAAGACAACAGACAGACAACATGAGAAATATTATGTATAAATTGTACCTATTATAAAAAAAAAGTAGTATCAACTACGTCAAGTATGATAATAATCAGTTATAATTAGAGTTGAGTTATTGTATTTTTAAAAGTCCTAATGTTGTGTTGTAAATAAGAAAGGTTGACACACATATAGAAAATAAGAAGTAGGTTATTCCAGAGATAAATATGGTACACGGTTGAGAACACAGACTAATGTAATAAACAGTTAATCGTTAATGCCTCTTCAGGACTGTAAGAGAAAATGCTGTTTAAATAAATAGTCTTAGACCAGTCCATCTTGATGGGGTATTCAGCTACTCCACAACATCCCCCTTTTATGAACTGACTACTTTCTCTATAGTTCCTGTAAATTTTCTTTTCTGTTTACTTGAATGTTTCTCCGATACATTTATCAACTGTTTTTTTTTTATTTCCCTTTGGTAACAGTTTATCGAACACAGATCTTATTTTTCTTGTGAACATTAACTCTGCAAGTGACAACCACTGAATTAGTACTTGGGTTTGGTGTCACATGATATACCCTAAAAATTGTAGGATATCGTCAATAGATCTGTTTCTGTCTGACTTTTTTAAGGCATGCTTGAAAGTGTCTACAAATCTTTCTGACTGCCCATTAGGTTGCAGGTGATACGGTGTGGTAGTGATGTGTACAATCGAAAATATTTACAAAAGTCTTTGAACTCTTTTGCTGTGAATTGTGTGTCATTGTTTGATTAAATTGTCCAAAAGGGGAAAAATGTGGCAAAAGTCCATGCAAAAATTAATTACCATTGCAAAAGGTTTTTTTTTTTCAGCAACTTAAAAATTTCAAGAAACTGTCAACCACAATTAAATAATATTGTCTCTTCAATTTTTTTGCAAAATCTATATATGCTGCCTTATTAAGGTCTGTCCATCTTTGGCCAAATATATTAAATTTCACTAGTGATGCCTTTACCATCATCACAACCTCTGCATGATTTTTACATTTTTTTCTATTTCTTTGTCTAATAAAGCCAAAAAACATTTTTTCATTAAAGCTTTAATCCTCTATATTATGGGTGACCAAATATATGGAAGTCTTTAATTAAATTATTGACAATAATTCACTAAAAATCAATATAGCATAATGATAAAAGGCCTCAAACTTAATAAAAACAAAGTTTCATCGTTAAAATGTTTATGTTATTATTAAGAGGAAAGAACAAAGTATTTTTTAATTATTTTTAAAAAATTTTTCCTTCTTCTAACATGTTTTAATGAAACTTTCAGAACTTACTCAAAAATGAATGAATTTATTTTTGAAATTTTTATTTTTAGAAAATCTTGGTAAAAATATTTTTTCCTACATTTTTTTTCCCCCCACTAAATTAATTTTAAAATTTTTTTCTAAATTTCAAAAAGTTCAAAATTGACAAATTGTTTTATATTACTTATAAGCAAGACCCCTTGGATAAATTTAATCAAGTTTTTTTTTCACAACTACTGCCAACTTTTTAAAAATCAGATCCAAATCATAAAATAAAAAGTGCAATAAAACTAATTATCAAATTAGGTAGACTTTTATTTGCTTTTATAAATAATATACATTAAGGACATTAGTATCTGAAGAAGAAAACAATTTTTGATGAGTAAAGAATTTTTACAAGAATTGTTTGCATTTTTCTTTTAATTTTTTTTTCATTTTCTTTAATTTTAAAAAATGTTTTAAAATTCTTCCAAGCAGAGTATGGAGGAGGTTATTAGGTTTTTAAGTGAAGACTATATTTAATATGCAAAAATTAAAAGCTTAATACAAATCATGTTACCAAAACTTTTTGCCATAATTAAAGATTTTTTTTTTTTTTTGTGCATTAAAATGTTATATTTTTTTTAGTATGATATCTTGTAATTGACATTATGTTTCAAAGCTTAGGGAAAGCACCTTAACATATAAAAGTCCTTGGCTTAATGTCACTCTCAGTTATTAAATTAAAAATTAAATTGAAATAATAAAATTATCTCATTTATCAATTTAAACAATTAATAACTAAGTGAGATATTTTAATTATTAATATATAATAATAATTTTATTGAAGTTATTAAATAAAAAGTTATTAAATTAAAAATGTAATAATAATAAAATTATTTATCATTATCTTAGCTATTAAATAATGAAATAGCATTATAAAGGTAACTCAATAATGTAAGAAATTTTTATAGTATTTTAAATTATTCAAAAAAAAAAAAAAAACGTTTTTTTTAGAATTCAATTTTGGTGCACCATGTTTGTCACACATTCAGCCATCAAATTATCGATGGAGACGTGAAAATAACAATACACCAAGGTTGAGAAATATTTGTCTAGAAAATTTTATGCTCTGGTAAAAGGGATATTTGTTTCAGAACAGATTTTATTTAACTTTAAATTTGCTAATTTTATGAAAGAAATGTATATCTAATTTTAGTGGTATTTTCAAAAAGGAAAGTTTTGTCTAAATTTCTCTAAAAAGGTTAAAAATGGCTGTTTCAGTTGGTTTTTTGGAAGCATTGACTAAAAATCATTCAAATTTCTGTTTAAAATACTCCAAATATTTTTTTTTTTTGAATTAGAAAAATTTAATTGAAGCTATGAAAAAAAGTTTCAAAAGAATTTTCCTTTATGAAAAATATATTTATACCTTAGGTATACAAATTTTTGGAGGTACCTACTTTTGCAGTGCTCCTGGTATACCCATTTGTTGTACATCAAAATTTCATCACAGATAGAAAAAATCTTTTCACCATCATTGGTCTATAAATTTTTTCTTTTTATCTGTAACTAGCAGCATGGCCCGGCGTTGCCCATGCTTGATTCAAAAAATCATACGACTCATACAGCAATCGCTATCACTTGACTTAAAATATTTTGCCCTTCCTTGCCTTTTTTTAAAGGAGTGCCCTTTGCCGTGCTGATGTTGTTACATGCCTTACTTCTTGCCTATCTCTCACTGCGAATTTTTCTAAGCTCTATACTAAACATTAAATCTGTTATGAAAAAAAGAACTAAACAAAATGAACACAAACGATCAGCTTTAAAAAAAAAGGACTCGTAACTGGAAAACCAAATGAAAAAAGAATGTTAACAACAAATGTTTTTTTCACACCCAACCCAGTTCTGTGGAATCAGAATCAACGTTGAGTTTAAGCAAGCAAATGAGCCAATTGGAGTAAAGTGCCATGCAGATTTAAATTTTTCCACTTGTGATGAATGCAGCTATCGATTTTTTTTTTTTTGCATGCTAGTTAACATTCGTGTCAGTCAGCTGTTGGCTCTCATGCTGGCCAATAGAATCTTCCTGCCTATTCATGGCAGCCAGCTATAGGCTCTCACTCTGGCCAGTACAAAATGGCTGCAAAC